ATGCCTTGATCATTTGTATACAGAAATATTTTCTGGTTCATGGCCATTGTAATGTAAAATGACCTGAATACTCCGATGGTCTTATTATAGCACGAAAACTCATTTGCGCATAATCTCTGTCAAATCGTTACATGTCCGTCTGCTTTTCTGGTTATTTTCCTTTACCTTCCAGAAACTAACTTTTACTTTGTTTGGAAAATTGTCAGCGTGTATATACATTCATACGAGCTAGGAAAAAGGTGTGCGTGTGTGTATGCACAGATACAGTGCAGAAAACCTGAATCGTTCTAACTTACGAACAGCTTGTGCAATATCGCTTAACGGCGCCTCTACTGGTTGCACCTTTCATTTTAGTATTTTTTTTGTCTTTAGGTAGTTCTATCATTCTCCACTTGCTGTCGTTTGTATCTTAGAGGTGTAAAGACGCCCAGAGACTCATGTTTTGTGTTTTCGTTCCATAAAAGCAAAAACTTAACGCTTACACCCTTAACATCCACAGTAACACTTGTTTCTTAGAACTGATTTACCTCAGTGACAAGATCGATAGCCACGATGAACGTGGAACTAAACATCTGTACACTTTTGTTGTGTGCGAATTGTCGCACAGATTAATTTCTAGAAGATTTGTTTACGAGCTTACGTGTAAAGAATTGATTAACACGGCACAGCTTACGTTGTATTATATATATATATATATATATATATATAGCGGCAACGAATTCTCTTATTTAAATGTAGGTAGACTAGAACTCAAATTCTACGTTTAAAATTAACAGGAACAAGATTGTTAACTCTGATTTTCAAAGGGACGGTCAAAAACGCTGAAACAAGTGGACAATAATTCCTGAAACAATAACTTTTCTCTTTTCTTCAACAGTTTTTTTAAAGCGTATTGTTAAGTTTTTCTATTCGTTGGTGGTTTATATAGAGATTGACTCGGCCTTAATTGAAAACCACTTCTTCTCAGTATTGCTCACTCGTTGAATATACGATTGATTATATTAGTATATATCGACAATTGTCTATTCCGGCTTACCTCGAGCGCTATAGTGTATAAAATTTATTATTTAAAGATAACACTCTTTATTTGATTGTGGTAGTGAGCAAATCTTTGTAGCTCGTTTATAGCAGAATTCTCAGCTGTTGGAATTGCCAGTAGTTTGTTGCAGCTTCTTCCGCCTGGTTAATGTGATATGCTGACTACATCCTTCGAATTCTGCGCTACCATGCTGTTGGTTTCTAAATGACTATTTCATAGCTGTCTTAACTAGCAACAAAAACTATATATATATATATATATATATATATATATATGCAACAAAAACTATATA